TAAAAAAAATAAAATTCCATTAAGAACATACACTTTACGCCATTAAGAACTCTAACCATTGTCGTTTCATTACCGGCGTGTCGCGTTGCTGTATAAGGGGTAAAAAAGTCTTATTTTTTGCCAAAAGTATATTTTTTAAAAATTTGGCAAAAATATATGTTAAAGTCGACATTATAAGATACTTTTTTTAAAAAAAATGGAGGTGTAACTTCAAAAAATCACACCAAAAAATTTTTTGAAAATTTCAAAATTAAAATTTTTTTTCTAATTATTCTTACTTATTTTTATAACATATTTAAATTTTATTAAAATCGGTTCAGTAGTTTTATGAGTTTTTTTTATTTTTTCCCCCTCCACAACTCACAAAAAAATTTGAATTTTGGGTTCATACTTTCAGAATTTTATACTCATAGGGGTAGCAATACATGGGGCCAATATGAGCCAAATATGTGCAGGGGCAAGTTTTGCATACTTAACCCCCTATGCCCTTTTCAACAAAAATATGTTCTATATAATTGAATTTTGATGAAGTTAAAGTTAAGATTTTTAGTAATAATTGTATTTTTAGAGATTTTAAAAATTAATAATAATTAATAAATTAATTAATAAATATAAAAAATTAATTAATTATTAATTACAATTTAAATAACTGAATTTTTGAAAAATTGGATTAAAACCATTGAAATAAATAATTAAACAAAGAATTATATAGATAAAATTTTGAAGAAAAAATTTGTAATTGAATTAACACTCAATTAATTATTAAATTACTTATTGAATTTGAACGAGTTCGAGTTAAAATTTTTTTGGATATTATTAAATTTCAAAAAAGTTTTTAAATTAAACCTTTCATAAATTTTAATTGCTAAAATTTTTTTTAATATACTTTAAAGAATAATACAATTTTAGTGTATTTTTAATAAAAAAAAAACATTTTATTTTCCTGAATTGATGAAAAACTTTATTAAAGTAAATTAAAAAATTAATTTTGCGAAATTCAAAAAAAATTTTAAATAATTGAATTATAGAGAATCTTGTAAACCCGTGTACAATTAAAATAAATAAATTATAAATTAAAAAAATGTTTAGAAAAATTGAATTTTCGATTTTTGAAATTTTCAATTAAAATTTTAATAAACTTTAATTATTGAAATTTTTTAAAAGTTATATAAACAAAAATTTAATTTTAAAGAATTAATAATTAAATAATGTTTGATGTAATTGAATTTTTGAAAAACTTGATTAAAATTATTAGAAATAATTAATTCAAAAAAAAAATTGACTTTAATAATTTTTAAAATAATTGAGTTTTAGAAGAGCAATATTTAAAATTATTGGAACTAATTGAATTTCAGGAGATTATTAATTGAAACTTTCATTTTAAAATGGTGAAACTTTTTTTAAAAACTTTAGGTATACAATAATTGAATTTTAGTTAATTTCCAATTGAAAACTATTTTAAATCATGTAATTTTCGAAGAATTTGTTTTAAATTACTGAAAATAATTGATTTTGCAAACAATTCAAGTTAATATATTTTTTTAATAATTCAATTATAAAAAATATAAAAAAAGGCGAAAAAGTCGTGCAATCCGAGGCCTGTTATTGAAAACTTCTTGAAATATTTTCATTAGGGTCAGGGAAAAAATTTTAATTTTGACAGGAAATCAAAGAAAAGTCAAGGAAAAACAAAATAATATTTTTGTGTTAACCCCGCGTATACAAAAAAAAATATTTAACTAAATTTAAAAGTTCGGTTATAAATCTAAACATATGGAATAGTAAATTTACTATTTGTAATTAATTTCTTTTTGAAAGAGACACATCAAAACAAATAATGACTTTCAGATTCATTAAGTTTCAGATTTTGCTCATTCTTTTACATTTAAAAAAAGTTGCCGGATATGATTTTTATTTTTATCACAGGATGCCGTAATACTGACGCAAAATTAACACGCATAATTCTCCCGATATATTAACAACAAAAATAGATAGTATTTTTTATTTAAAATTATTTTTTTTACAATTTATATATATATATATATATTACAATTTTTACAATTCATTATTATTTATTAGTATTTTATTTTTATTTATACATAACTGGTTAAATTATAAATTATTATATTAAATGGCGTGTGTAAAAAGAAATAATAATAATTTTCAATAAAAAAACTATATTTTTTATCAAAAGCGTCTTGCAGAATATAAATATTGTGAAATTAAAAAAAAATTTCGATGCTAAAAATTTATGAATCGTGAGTAAACAGGAAAATAAATAGGGGAAGCAGACAAATTCGATGCTACTACAAATTATCATAAATAACTTTTCGGAACGGATATGCACTTCCGGGTGTCATTTCATTTATACTGCAAAAGGAAATTGGAGATTTCATTGGAAATCCAATCAACTGTTTTACTTAATCCATATAAAAAGTTTTTTTTTTATTAATTTTGTTTGTACCATAATTTTTTGGACGGCATGTGTTTAATACGAATTACAATATTTTCTCATGTAATTGTAAATAAAATTGCATGTTAAATTGAGATAAAAATCACTGTACGAAAAAAAAACATTCAACTCAAAATGATCCCCGTACGATATTTATTTTAAGCTGCTGCAAAAAATAAAACCGCGTTTTAAATGGAACACGTGAAAAAAAAGTAGTAAAAAAAAGTGTAGAGTAAAAGTTAGAATTTCCATTTGAAAGAATTAAAATAGAATTAGAATTTTATTCTTAGTAGATTTCTCATTAAACAGAATTTCAATTGAAACAAATTTTGAAATACAAAAATTTGTATTTCATCGAATCTTCATTTTTATCTAAATTTTTATTTGACAAAACTTTTATTTGTTAAATAAATTTCTACTTAATAGAAAAAGAAATTATTTTTTTACAATTTGTGCAGGCCCGACAGGAGGGTTAAATGCCCCGGGGCCCGGCCGCTCTGGGTTTGAAAAAAATTAAATATAAACCAAATTTTATTTGAATTATTAACTGTGTACGAATAAATATTGTATTATTATTGTATAATAAGAGATGGGTAAGTAATTTACAGTAATTTACCGTCTATTTTATAACCCGAGATTTTTACAACAATATGTTTTTGATCTAGACAGGTAATTTACGTAAAATACGTGCATGCAATTTACATGAAAATCCTTCAGTGACGCGTCACTACCCATCTCTGGTTCGAAGTTTAGTCATCCAACCTTGCTTGCTGTTATTCTATAGTAGCGGAATCACCTGTTTTTAATGTTACATTAGAAGTAATGTTGATAAATTTTTGCAATCATCTCAACAAAAAAAAGCATTGTTGTATGTTGGTTGCATATGGTACAAGAGGCAATGAAAACAAATCGATTAATTAGTATTCTGATGCAGAAACAACAAGAAATAATTAACCTTTGAACACAGTAACTTGTGTACTTGAATAATTTCCTATTTAACGTATTCAACGATTGAAATTTAGAATAGTTGGTGCGATATAAAGAAAGAGATCTAAGAATCAAATCATTTTAATGTTATGTTTGTGTTAGTTTTACTTTTTGTGTATTTTCAATCCAAAAATTACAAACATAACCTAACATTTTTTTGTTTCTTAGGTGGCTTTCAATAATAATAATAATAATAATAATAACATTTGGTTATAAGTAGTTAAAAATATTAAAAAAATATTATAATTTAATTATAATGTATTTCAATTGACAAAAAAAAGTTATATTGAAAATTTAAAGTCTGAAATAATTCAAATGAAAACCGATCTCCATTTTAAAAAAATAATTTAAGCATTTCTCATCCTACTATCACAAAAAATTATAAGGTATTAAAATAAGCTGCAACGCTTATTATTTTAATCCAATTTTTCTTATTTTAATACCAAAATGGATTAAAATAAGCAAAATTGGATTAAAATAAGAAGCGTTGCAGCTTATTTTAATGCCTTTTAATTTTCTGTGATGGGGTCCGACAATGTTTTAGTCGATTTTCATTACAAAAAAATCGAAAAAGGCGATATTTTTTATTTTTAATAAATTTTATTAGTTAATAAATATTTTATTATTATTAACATTAATTATTAGAAATTATATAAATTTTTTCAAATTCTATAATAAAAATATTTCACAGGAACATTTCCATGAACTTTGTTTTTAAACTTCAGAATTAAATTATGACAAATTTTCAAGATTTCAATTCAGTAGGACAAATTTTTAAAAATAATAATTTAAAATTACTTTAAAAGAAGAAAAAATTCCAAATCATTGTACAAATTATTCGAATTCAGAATTTTGGCAAATATTTTAAATGATTAAATTTTCAAAGAAATTGATTAAAATATTATTGAAAAAAAATTAATTTATTAATTGAAATTGTTGTAAATTTGAATTGCTGAAAATTATTGACAAAATTTGAAACAGTAATTGAATTTTAAAGAATTTTTAATAAAAAAAATTTGAAATTTTGAAAAATTTAACTAAAATGATTCAAATAATTAATTTAGCGAAGAAATTTTTAGATAGTAGTTGCAGTTACAAATTGTTGAAAACAATTGAATTACAGGAGATTTTTAATCAAAATTTTCGTAAATTTAAATTGCTGAATATTATAAGATTTAGACAATAACTGAATTTTAGAAAAATTTGTATTGAGAAAGTGTTTTAAATAATAAAATTTTTAGGAAATTTTGATGAAAGTATATTTTGTTGAAAAAAGTCGAAAAAGTCACATTTTATAAAAATAAGTCGAAATAGTCGCATTCATTGAAAAAAGACGAAAAAGTCGTGCAATCCAAAGGTTGTAATTTTTTGGTTCAAATTTGGATTTTTATGAAATATCCCATTATTCGAGTTTCAACATAAAATAGGGAAAATGAGTGAAAAAAGGGGAAATATTCATAAAGAAGGGAAAATTTTTTAAAATAGGGGAAACAATGTGAAGCCTGATTTAATAATAGAAAATAGTTTCGTATGTAAAATAAAAAATTGTGTATTTTTTCAGTGCAATGAGAGTGTTATTGTCGAAATTACCCCGACCGTGGATAGTCGATGAGAAAAAGGACGATGGGTACACAGCACTTCACCTGGCAGCTCTCAATAATCACGTGGAGGTGGCGGAGCAATTAGCTCGAGCTGGCAAAGCCGACTTGGACTTGCAAAACGTCAACTTGCAAACGGCCCTGCACTTGGCCGTGGAACGTCAACACACACAAATCGTCAAGGTACAAGAACTATTATATACCTTTGAGCTGCAATTTCCATATTTCACTATATATGTATAGTAAATTGACTAATATCGCTTCTGACTCATCAGCAGAATTTCACCAATTTACCAACTAAGCTAGACAATATCCAATGACCTGGATTCCCATTTCCAATTGGAGTTAAGTCGACTGAGCGAAATGTAAATTAAAGACTTAGATTATTGGAATTTTATTCTTATCCAATTTAGTTCTCCAACTATACATATCCATGTATAGATTTTCTATTGCTAACATCAAAATTAGTATATGTGACCTCGTCTGAAAAAAGAATGATTACGCGTCAAAATTAATATTTTATGAAAAAAAAAACTTTTCTTCAAGAAAAATATGCTTCTCGTTACACGATCAATTAGTATAATTTTTATTTTAAACAAAACAAAAATTTTAATTTAAAGAATTAATAATTTGAAAAACGTTTGATATAATTGAATTTTTGATAAACTTGATTTAAATTATTAGAAATAATTAATTCAAAAAGAAATTGAAGTTAAAAATGTTCGAAATTATTGAGTTTTGAAAAAACAATAATAAACATTTTTAAAATTAATTTTATTTCAGGAGATTTTTTATCTTTAAACAGTAATTAAACTTTGGAGAATTTTGAAATTGTTTTAAACAATTGAATTTTCGAAAATCTTGATTAAAATTATTAAAATTAAATTATTCAACAAAGAATTTTCGATACAAAATTTAGTATTTTAGAAGAGTTCGAGTTAAAATTTTCAGAAATAATAATTGAATTTCAGGAGATTATTAATTGAAAGTTTCATTTTGAATTGGTGAAATTTTTTTTTTAAATTTTTGGACAATAATTGAATTTTAGTGAATTTTCAATTGAAAACTGTTTTGAAATCATGTAATTTTCGAAGAATTTGCTTTTTTTAATAATTCAATTTCAAAAAGAAAAAAAAGTCGACAAAATCTTGCAATTCGATGCCTGTTATTGAAAACCTTTGAAATATTTTCATTAAGGTCAGGGACAAAATTTTAATTTTTACTGAAAATCAGGGAAAAAGAAAATAATATTTTTGTATTAACCCTGTAAGATTTTTTTTAAATTTTAAGATAAACGACAATTTCGCCTTGGAAAATTAAATTCGTTGTAAAAATTTTTTCTGCTAAACAAAAAAATTCGAGTTCTCTAAAAAATTGACAAAAATTGATTTTCAGCTCCGACAATATTTGCTTGATTTGAAATGAATTCGATTATAATATTAAATTATTAAAGGACAAAATATTAATTTTGTTTGTATTGTAATATAATATCAATATCAAAAGTGATTGTAAAATAATATTTTTCAGCTTCTTGTACGAGAGGGTGCAAATTTAAATGTTGCCGACAAAGATGGTGATACTCCCCTTCATGAAGCGTTGCGTCATCACACACTCTCACAACTACGTCAACTCCAGGATGTTCAGGATGTTGGTCGACTTTTAATGGGTTTGGGTGCTCAAGGTCAGGATAAGAAAAGCAGTTCCTTCATTGCCTGCTTCCTTGCAGCTCACGGCGCAGATTTGGAACTCAAAAATAAGAAAGGACAGACTCCCCTTGATCTCTGTCCGGATCCAAATCTTTGTAAAACTCTCACCACGTGTTACAAAGATACCGAATCGTTAGTGTCTTCATATTTCTTCATTTTCACAAATTTACCTAATATTATTTTATTTTCAACAGCAATTAACAAACAGTGAATTTTTTATAATTTTTATTTCTTTGAATTAATTTATTTAAATAATTATTTATTATTTTATTTCATTTGCAATTAAAAGTTTTTACTTTTTCTAATTTTAAAAGATTTTAAACTGAAAATTTTCAAAACTAATTCAATTATCAAAGAATTTATTTAAAATTATAAAATAATTAAGTTGTTTTAAATAATCAAAATTTAAATTATATTTTTGAAAATAATTTACTTATTTTGAATATATTTAATTAAAAGAACTGTAAGTAATTAAAATTTCGTATTTAATTGAAAAAATAATTAAATTTCTAAAAAGAATTTCATTAAAATTTTTGAAAATATGTAATTGAATTTTTTTAAGAATTTCAATTGTTCTTTATACAATGTTTAAAAAATTTTTCATTTGATAGAATTTTCATTTATCACAATTTTTTTTAATAGAATTCACATTTGATAAGAAAATCAGGGAATTGTATTTAATTTATTTGTTATTTAATTTCTGCTTTCTAAAAATTACTATTTTAATTTTTCCGTTCCCGGTTAGGTTATTTTTAATAAAAATTTAATTTCTTTTTTTTTTGTAATCATCAACAACAATTAAAAGTCAAAAATCACATTTAAAATCTGATGTGAAACAGAATAAAAATCTAAAAAAAAAAGAAAAATTTTTTCTAAATCTAAATCTTATTTTCTAATTTAAAGGGGATTTTTACAGAGTATGTGATTTTTTTATTTTTTTAAGCGCCATTTTTTTGTTACAGCCATGACATCGAACCTGTAAGTACATCAGCAACGATTGACGAGTGTCTGGTGTGTTCGGATGGAAAGCGAGAAGTTCTTTTTGGTCCATGTGGACACGTCGCTTGCTGTAACGCATGTGCTCCAAGAGTGAAGAAGTGTTTGATCTGCCGAGAGAACGTCATGTCCAGAGGAAAAGTAATTAACAGATTTCTCACATTCAAGTTTCTAATGATCGAATTCCAATCACGTTTCCCATTTATTTAAATAAATTAATGGAACAAGAAAATTCATTGTCACCATCCAAAAGTTGAATTTTTTTTTTATTTACGTACCGTCAACCGAGCAAATTATGGAACAAAAAACGAGATTTTTTCACTTTTTTCTTCATCAAAAAATTTAAATTGTTAAAAAAAATTCTAACCATTCAAATATATTTTGAACATCTTTCTAAAGGTTTCCTTTAAGTTTCATTAACAAAAAAAATTTTATGGAGCTATTTAAACTTAAAGCCTTTTCCATAATTGCCTCGCAATTGGGGCAATTATATAATAATAAAATCCTTCTGTCCTAACTTGAAGTTGGCCTTTTCTGATTTCACGTGTTTTTTTGAATAGTAATCTTATGACGTGTCAAATTTTGACAATTCTTTTTCTCATTTTTGCCAAAGTTGTATAATTGTGTTTCCAAATTTCGGAATAAGTATCTTTAAAATTCCAAATTCGAAAATTCAATTCACGAAGCTGAAGTACACAACGTTTACCAACGAAATTTTTTTTAAAGTTGTATATTGATTCAAAAATTGTATACAAATACAAAAAATTTATGATGAGAAAAAAGATGCGCCAGGAAATTTCTTACAAGATAGTAATTTGAAAAAAATTTATTTTTAAAAATTAATTTTTAAGGTACCAGGGGCCAACGAATACCTATTAAATATTAATTATAAAAACACAGGCCTCGAATCAACATAAAGACACAAAAAGTCGTTTTAGTCGATTTATATTCCAAAAAAAGTGGATTTGTTTTTTATTTTAACTAAAATATTTTACAGATTTTTAAATAAAAATTTTTTTTTAATAATAATCCTTTTCGAAGGATTAAAGTTGAAATTTTTAGAAATAATTAAATTTCAAAAGATATTGTTAATTTTCAAACAATTATTAAATTTTACAGAACTAAAAATAATTTATCAAACAATTTTTGGAAAACATTTTTTAAATTTAATTGAATTTTCAAAGATTTAACATTGAGATTTTTGAAATTAATTGAAACTTTAAGTGATTTTTAATTAAAATTGTAGATGATTTCACTAAAAATTTATTAGAAAATGTGGACAAAATACAATAATTTGAAAATCATTTTTAATTGAAAAATGGTTTCAGATAGTTTAAATTTCAAAGAATATTATTAAAATAGTTAAAAATAATTGAATTTCCTTAGAGTTATAATTATAATTATTAAATTTCAAAAAAAAAAATTTCGATGGAAAATTTTAGAAATAATTAAATTTTAGATGCTTTTAAATTCAAATTATTGAAAATTCAATTAATTTTGAATTCAAATTTTTGAGAATAATGAAATTTTATTTGATTTTAAATTTGGAAAATGGAAATTTGGAATTTCAGTTTATTTTGAATTGAAAATTTTGGGAAATAATTGAATTTTAATTGAAATTTTGGATAATAATTTAATTTAAGTTCATTTTTGATTGAAAATTTGGATAATTAATTTTGAATAGAAATTTTGGATAATAATTTAATTTAAGTTCATTTTAAATTGAAAACTTGATAAATAATTAAATTTTAAATTGAAAATTTTGGATAATTATTAGATTTTTAATTGAATTTGAATTAAAATTTTGGGTAATAATTGAATTTTAGTTTATTTTGAATTGAAATTTTTAAAAAATAATTCAATTTTATTGTGATATTTTTTTTTAAATTATAAACAATTGTTAAATTTCATAAAAATTTTAATTGAAAAATAATTTTGATATAATTGAATTTGTGATGTATTTAATTAAAATTATTAAAAACAATTAATTTAGTGAAGAATCATTTTAGTTAAAAATTTGTTAAATAATTGAATTGAAGAAGATCTGAAGAAGATCTGAAGAAGATCTACATTTTGTACTAAAAAAAAGTATTTTATTTACATTTTTTTTCAAATGTAAAAAAAATGTCGCATTTTATTAAAATAAGTCGATAAAAGTTTTTAAAATTTTTAATTGAGAAATGTGTTAATTAATGGAATTTTTGAAGACTTTGATTAAAGTTATCAAAAATAATTAATTCAACAAAGAATTTAAGTTGAAAATTTAAAAAATTTTTAAATTATTACAGTTACGATTGTTGAAAATAATTGAATTTCAAGAGATTTTAAATCAAAATTTTCATAAATTTGAATATTGAATATGAATATTTGAATGAATATTTTTGAATATTTGAATATTTTTTTATAAGATTTATACAATAACTAAATTTTAGAAAAATTTGTATCGAGAAAATGTTTTAAATAATAAAATTTTCAGAAAATTTTGATGAAAGTATATTTTGTTGAAAAATGTCAAAAAAGTCACATTTTATAAAAATAAGTCAAAATAGTTGCATTCATTGAAAAAAGACGAAAAAGTCGTGCAATCCAAAGGTTGTAATCTTTGGTTCAAATTTGGATTTTTATGAAATATCCCATTATTCGAGGGGAAATATTCATAAAAAAAAGGGGGATTTTTTAAAATAGAGGAAGAAATTATAAATTTTTTTAAAAAATTAATTACCAAGCTAAAATATAATGAAATGATTCATTAATACTAATTATTTTTCCCTTTGCTGCAGATTGAAGAATGTGTAGTGTGTTCGGATCGTAAAGCGGGTGTCCTATTTCGTCCTTGCGGTCACATGTGTGCCTGTGATGCCTGCGCTGCCTTAATGAAGAAATGCGTTCAATGCCGAGCTCATATTCAACATATGGTACCGATGTCAGTTTGTTGTGGTGGTGGAGGTGACGTCACGTACGTGAAAGGGTGCAATACTACTGCAGGTAAAAATAATAAGAATCCTTCAATATCATTGCCCTATTGAATAATACATATCGAAACTCTCTCAATTTATGTAAAAAAGAAAAACATGTCGTCTTTGATATTTACCTTTTCCATTTTCTGCTCCGGACACACTTTACTTTCAAAAACGGACAAGAATAGATTTTAAATCAGTTTTAAATTCTTTTTCCAATTTTTTTTTCACACACACACACAAGAAGAAAAAGTGAAGAAAATTATTCAAATTTATTCAACAGAACAAAAGATTTTTTTAAATATTTTTGATTTTCAATTAACTGAAATAAAATTTAATGTGGTAAAACGCATGAAAAAATAATAAATAAAAATGTTATTTTTGAAATAAATAAGAAAAATGTGTTTTAATATATTACTTTAGAATTTGAATGTGAAGTAGAAAATTTAATTATTAAATAGAAAAATTATTGTTTGCTTGAAGATATTAAAGTTGGAAACTTGATCCTAATTTATGGAATATTTAATTTTTTAGCAGGTTCTTTGACTGACGTGAAAGATGACGAAGAAGAAGAACCAGCTCCAACAAATACCAGTGGTGGTGAAACTATCTTAATGAACAACGGAAGTCGAGATACTTCACACAGTGATATACAAAAACTGCAACAACAGCTGCAAGATATCAAAGAACAGGTAAAAACTTTAATTACTATATTTATCACTTATGCGCCGCCTAAGTTCTTACATTTTCAAATTAATTTTTTAAAATAATATTTATTTTTCCCAGCGTTCATTTTATTTTATGTACAATTTTAAATTAATAAAATTCTCCATGAATTATTATAAAATTATTTTTAATTAAAAGCCACTAGCACTTTATAAAAGTTTAACTAATTAATTAATTTAATACTACGAGTAAACAATGTAATAATTTACATTACTATTTTAATTTTAAAAATTTTCATTAAAAGGAATAAATTTTTTTCTTTAAATATTGAAACTAAAAAGTATTGACTATTTTTAGTTGGCTTGTAAATTATCAAATAAAAACTGAAAAACGATGTTTGAAATTAAAATAATTGAATAAATAGCAAAATTGCATTATTTTATTTCAATTTGGTAAGTAAATTAATCGTAAAATTTTTATTCCTATATTTTGTATTCAATTTAATTAAAGTTAGTATTTTTTTAATTAAATAAATTTGGCTAAGGACATTATCGAGGGTTGTCACGGGTCAGGGAAGTCAGGAAATATGAGAAGTACTGGAAAAATATCAAATTTCTAAAAATGTTACTAAAATTATAATTTTTGAAATTTTCAATTCAAACTTTTGCTTCTAAAAATTATTGTCTTACATTCTTATAATTGTAGGTCTCTGATCGACTTTTGAAAGAAAAAGTCATTTTACTCGATTTACATTACAAGAAAAGTCTAAAAAGTACATTTTTTTATTTTCAATAAATTTAATTAGTTGCTAAATATTGTATTATTTTTAACAATTTGTTATTAAATTTTTTTAAAAAATTATTAATTCCTTAATAGAAAGGTTTCACAGAAATATTTTCATGAATTTTTCTTTTAAAACCACCGAATAAAACTGAGACAACTTTTCAAGATTTCAATTCAGTTTCAGAATAAATTTTAAAAAATAATTTAAAGTTACATTAAAAATAAGAAAATTTTACAAGTTTGATATATGCACATTATTTGAATTCATAATTTCGGAATATATTTTAAATAATTAAATTTTTGAAGAATTTTATTAAAATATTATTTAAAAAAATTAATTTTAAATGAAAATTTTTGAAATAATTGAATTTCAGAAGACTTTAAATTAAAATTTTAAAAATAATTAAATTTGGAAGAGTTTATTTAAAAATGTTTAGAAATAATTAAAAATCAGAAGATTTTCAATTGAAACTTTTATAAATTTAAATTAATAAAATGTTTTTTACATATTTCAGACAGCAATTTAATTTCAGAGAATTTTCAACTAAAATATATTCTAAATAATTGAATTTGGATGGAGTTACATTTAAGATTTTTATAAATAATTGCATTTTTTGAGACATCAAAAATTTTAATTTTGTTGTAAATATAAACATTAACTAAAAAATGTTTTACAAACTTGAATTTTCGATTTTTGAAATTTTCAATTAAAATTTTAATAAACTTAAATTAATGAAATTTTTGAAAAATTATATAAACAAGAATTTAATTTTAAATAATTAATAATTAAAAAAAGTTTTATGTAATTGAATTTTTAAAAAACTTGATTAAAGTTATTAGAAATAATGAATTCAAAAAGAAATTGAATTAAAAATGTTTTTAAATAATTTAGTTTTGGAAGAGCAATAGTTAAAATTTTTTGAACTAACTGAATTTCAGGAGATTTTTAATTATAATTTTCGTAAATTGGAATTTCTGTAGATATTTTATAAACAATAATTAAACTTTCGAGAATTTTGATTTGGAAAATGTTTTAAATAATTGATTTTTCAAAAATCTTAAAATTTAAATCTTAAATTAAAATTATTGAAATAAAATTATTCGACAATTTCAATTTTAGATAGAAAATTTTGAAATAATTGTATTTTAAAAGAGTTCGAGTTAAAATTTTGAAAAATAATAATTGAATTTCAGGAGATTATTAATTGAAACTTTCATTTTGAATTGGTGAAATTTTTTTAAAAAACTTTAGACAATTTTCAATTTTCAATTGAAAACTCTCTTTAATCATGTAATTTTCGAAGAATTTGTTTTAAATTATTGAAAATAATTGATTTTGCAAACATTTCAAGGTTATCTTAATAATTTTTTAAACAAATTTCATAAAAATTGTATTTTCAACATAAATTCTATTAGTAATGTTGGACTCTATTAACAATTAAATTTAATTATGTTAAAAATTTATTATTATTATTTTACATTATACTAAATAGCATACTATTGAGAATAAATGACAAAATTTTTTTTTTAATTTATCAATTAATAATAAATTTAATTTTTTTTTCACATTCAATAAGGAATGTTGTAAATTTTTTTAACCTTAAATTAAAAGTTTTATTAAGATTTTTTTTCTTAAAAATTTCAAAATATAATAATATAATAATAAATAATTTATTTACTAATTAAGAAGTGCAAAGCCTGGGGTGTGTTCACTTAATTCTTATTCTTATTGAATTTAAGAACAATTGAATTTTAAAAATAATTAATATTAGAAAATAATTTAAACAAAAATCGATAAACTTCATAAAAATATATTTTGTTTTATTGAAATTTCTGAATTTTTTTTGTTTCAGACAATGTGTCCCGTTTGCTTAGACCGTTTAAAGAACATGATCTTTCTTTGTGGACATGGAACGTGTCAAATGTGCGGAGATCGCATGTCCGAATGTCCAATTTGTCGCAAAGCCGTAGACAAACGAATTTTACTTTATTAAATTGATTACTTGTCACAAAGAGAATTTAATTAATGCTAAGCAGTCAATTTTTTTGTAGAGTGGGGGGGTGGTGAGAAAGATTTTAAATTCTCTGTCACTATGGTAAAAGAAAGGAAAATTCAATTAAAGTTGAAGAAAATTTAACAAACGTTTAAAGAAGAAAAACCCAAAGATGTGGAGAAAAATAATTATTATTCAAAACCAACGAAATTCACGTTAATATTCTTTTTTTCCAACGATCACATTTTTCCAGCAAAAAGTGAATTATTAATTTAAATACAAAAATTGATTATTAAAATTATTCAAAATTACAAAATGAAACGATTTTTGAATTTAATTTTTTAAATTCAATTTTTATTATTATTTTTTTTAATTCTTTGTGAAAACTTTTTTATCTTCTAAATAAATATCTTCCCACTGCCAGAAAAAAAAACTGCGGAAAAAAACAAGACTGCCGAATTTAAATTTTTTTGGAGAAAAATTAAAATAAATAAGTGAGATTATCGTAAGTTATAATGAAATTCGAGAAAAGAAACGTACGTCTTGTTTTATTATAAGAATTGGAGCTTTATACTTCTCGCTTTGAAAACAACTTCTTTATATTCGATGTAATTTGTACATTAGTTATTTAATTATTAATATTACGCTATATAATTATTGACTAGATGATGATTATAATGAAATGATATTTCAATTATTATTATTATTATTATTATTGAAATTAAAAAGCCATCTGCGATGGAATTGGGCTGCGAGTAAGAATCTCTTCCGTGTTTGTAACGGAAGCTAGAGATCTCTAACTTTTTATATATATATATAATCTTCCAATATGAAAATGGAAAAATTTTTTTAAGCAAATTCAATTGTTATCGACTGCAAATTAGTGAATTTTTCAATTTAGATTTTCTTTAGTGAAATAAATAATAAATGTCATTAAATTATATATGACAAATCGTTAATAAGTAATCGTTTTTAAATTTGTTATATTAGTAGACATTTCTTTCATATAGAACATTTACTTGTGTTAATGTATGAAAATGTTTAGCAAAAAAATATAGATCTAGAGTCGATCAATTAAAATTCTATTATAAATAATTTTTCATTGTCTCGCTCTATGACTTTTTTTTAAAAAATCAACTTTCTAATATACAAACAATTAGACAATGCAATCTCAAATATTTTGTAGGATTTTAAAGAATTTTACAAATGAATTATTAGTAATTTATAGACTGCAATTGAACAATCTTTTTTTATTTTTTTAAATCAAAATTTGATATTTTTTTCAACGAATATAATTTCGTAACTATTCCAGTTAATTTGATTTCACATTTTTTTATAAATTGATATTAATTTTTTTGTTTTTAAGTTAAGTTCTTTTGATGTATATTCACGATGAAAATTGTTCAGACTTTTGAAATTTCAATTTAGTCTTTGAATATATGTATTTTATGTATATTAATTGCGGCTTTATAATATTTAAGTATTTCGAAAAAAACTTTGTCATTTGTAGATGATATAAATGTAAAAAAAAACTAATTGTATTTCTCAATTTTATAACTGCTACAATCAAGTCGTTAATCTTCGTTATCTCTATTTAAATCTTGTATTGACAACGACAAAAATATATAAATAGTAAAAATTTTCTCAACGCACAAATATCATAGCTATTCTCACTGCAATTTTATAACAATACTTTCAGTTTATTTTAATAATTATTTTAATAATTATTTTAATAATAAACATTTAAAATTTTATTTACCAAACTTTTAATAATTTCAAAATTCACAGTGTATTTTTTTCCAACAAATGAAGATTCGTTGTTTTAAGGGCATGTTAAAGTCATGTCAAAAAAAACCATGAGAAAATTGGAACTACTTTTACATGCCCTTAAAAGTTCTATCAAATGAAAATTCGTGAAAATAAAAATTGAAACAAATAAAGACTTGGTGAATTGGAAAATTTGACATTTAAAAATTCGAAATTCTGTTAAATGAGAATTCTGCTAAATTAATATACGGTTAAATAAAAATTACCTATAAATTTTGTCTACTAAAAGTTAGTAAAAAAATTCTGTTAAATAAAAAGTACCTAAAAGTTTGGTTGAATAAAAATTCATTTAAAAGAAAATTCTGTTAAATGTTTATTTTAAAAATAAAAATTCGTCTAAAAAATAATTATATATTAAAAAAAAATGTTTAAAATGAAAATTCTTACTAATGATTTTTATGGGATGAGCTCTTGAAAAAATCCTAGTTAATAAATTTTAAGAAACTTTTTATTAAATAGTATTTTAATTAACCGAATTTATTTTAATTTTAACTGAAAATTCGCTGAAATAATTATTATGATCGAATTTCTAATTAGTATAAATCTCATATAACTCTGATTCTTGTAATTTATACTTATTTTTAATTAACATATTATGTTTAATTAATTTCCTGTAATTGGAATTATCTTATTTTCTCCCTAATACCAATGTGTAACGTAAATTGTAAATATTGAAGGAATTGACGAATCTTTTTTTATATAATTTTTTGACATGTTTCCATTACTAACTTAAAGTAAATTCGTATATTATAAAAAAAAAATCAGTGAGAATGGCTGTGTTTTATACAGTATTTCAGTACAAATGATCTTAAATTGAAAATAAAATAATTCTCAAAATACTATAATGTAAGTAGTGCAAATAAATAAATTACATTTTCATTTAATTGGCAAATAAATATTACTACAAATAATATTTTCTTTTTAAGTCAATATTGTGACTTTATTTCAAAAGTTATTACTTCGAATAAAATGACTTATTTTAAGAACAAAAATTTTACATATAATTAAGAAAATGTTTTTACAGCACAGCTTTTTAAGCTTCGACGTTATATGATATTTATTTAATTATAAAAATTAACGACATTGCGAGCATTTTATTGTAGAAAAAAAGACGCAGGCCGATTTATTTAACAATAAAGTTATCATAAAAACATTTATCAGGTGTAACAATTATTATACAAATTCATTACATTTTGACTTTAAATAAGGAAAAAAGAAACTTTTATCAAGGTAAAACTGTCAAAATAGTGTTGCCACGAGTCAGGGAAATCATGAAAAAGTCAGGGAAAGTGAGATTGGTCAGGGAAAAGTCAGGAAATTTTATGAAAAGTATTGGAAAAATTTCAAATTTCTAAAAATGTTACTAAAATTATAATTTTTGAAATTTTTAATTCAAACTTTTGCTTCTAAAAATTATTGTCTTACATTCTTATAATTGTAGGCCTCGGATCGACTTTTGAAAGAAAAAAAAGTCATTTTACTCGATTTACATTACAAGAAAAGTCTAAAAATTCAATTTTTTTATTTTCAATAAATTTAATTAGTTGATAAATAATGTATTACTATTAACAATTTGTTTTTAGAAATTAAATCAAATTTATTAATTCCTTAATAAGAATGTTTCACAGAAATACTTTCAAGAATTTTTCTTTTTAAACCACCGAATAAAACTGAGACAAATTTCAGAATTTCAGAAAATGTTTTAAATAATTCAATTTTTGAAGAATTTTATTAAAATTTTATTGAAAAAAAATTAATTTTAAATTAAAATTTCAGAAGAATTTTAACTAAAATTTTAATAATAATTAAATTTGGAAGAGTTTATTTAAAAATGTTTAGAAATAATTAAAAATCAGAAGATTTTCAATTGAAACTTTTATAAATTTGAATTAATAAATTATAATTCTGTTGTAAATATAAACATTTATTAAATTTTCTTTTTTAAAATTGAATTTTCGATTTTTAAAATTTTCAATTCCACTTATAATAAACTTGAATTATTCAAATTTTTTAAAAGTTATAAAAAAAATTAAATTGTAAAGAATTAATAATTAACCCTCCTTAGTACAGGCAGTGAGGGATTTCCTCACTGGTTTCAGTATTTTGTATATAGATTTTTTTTGACACGCTATAGAGCGCTGTCCTTCCCTATACCTTTTAACAAAATACTCATGTATACATTTGTAAAAAGAAATTTAGTTTAAACTAAATAAATCTTTAGTTTTAAATTTTTGAAGACGACCGGAACACAAAAAAGTGAGGGATTCTCTCCACACTTGTGCTTCGGCGTATGTGAAAAATGTTCATGTTCTCAATGCGACGTTGCCGTTCTTCTGTTGTTCGTACCAGAAATAAGTTTATATGTAGTGAATCGCCATGTGATCATAATATATGAAAATTAAGTAAACGTAAGTAATTATACATAAACAATCAATAATGGCTTTTTTAGAAACTTTAATTTAATTAAAACTTGGTCAGTGCGTGTGTGAAAGAAATATATAAGTAAAAGTTGTTTTAAACTTGTTGTAAAGATGACTTTAACCTCACATAACCTCACATTCGTTGTTTTTATTTTGGATTATTCATATCATTATTATTAAAAATTGAAATGAATCATGTAATAAGAATGATTTAATTAGATTTTTAAAAATATTACGTCAAAAGTATATTTTAGTTAATGTGAATTTAGTGAATTAACTACTAATGTAAAAGAGTTTTTTCAACTTGACAGACCGGCAGCGTCGCATTTCTTTTGCATGCGAGGGGATTCTCTCTACGGTTGTGCTACGGCGTCATTTTTTTTAGGTTGTACTAAGGAGGGTTAAAAAACGTTTTATGTAATTGAATTTTTGAAAAACTTGATTATAAAGTTATTAGAAATAATTAATTCAAAAAGAAATTGAAGTTAAAAATTTTAGAAATAGTTGAGTTTTGGAAAAGAAATCAGGGCCTTGGAGAGCTAGCACGGGCCCAAGAAAAATCAACATTGGCGAGCACCATAATAGTTTTTCAATTGAAATACATTATAATTGAATTATAATATTTTTTTTACTTTTTTAACTACTTATAACATGTTTTTATTATTATTATTGTTGTTTAAACCGACATCGGTCATTTCCAAAATTCTATTGTATTTCTTTACCCACTTATAACAAAAAAATTTTAGGCTTTGTTTGTAATTTTTGGATTGAAAATACACAAAAAGTAAAAATACCACAAAAATAACATTAAAATGATTTGATTCTTAGATCTCTTTCTTTATATCGCGTCGACTATTCTAAATTTCAATCATTGAATATGTTAAAAAGGAAATTATTTAAGTACACAAGTTACTGTGTTCAAAGGTTAATTATTTCTTGTTGTTTCCGCACCAGAATACTAAATAAGCGATTTGTTTTCATTGCCTCTTGTACCATATGCAACCAACATACAACACTACTTTTTTTTTTGTTGAGATGATTGCAAAAATTTATCAACATTACTTCAAATGCAACATTTCTTCTTCTTCTTCTTCTTCTGATGCTACACACAAGGTGTAGCGTATGTGGCTTCGAAATATTCAGGCCAATTCTTTGCACACAAAATTGTCAGTAATATTTATTTTTTTGTCCTTTTAATTATTTAACTTTTACAAATTGAGAAAAGAAATTTAAAATTTCTTTTTAATCACTATCGTTACCTCGTTTATAGTAAAGTATGCCTCTCCATTTAGGTTGGTTGGTTGGTTATGTTTATTGGCCTCTTGTCCCCGAGGGTCAAATAGCCATGAAAAAATTATATAGATTGTAGACTTCTGTATATTTTACATCCTGTGACTTGCATTCCGTTATTTAGATTTGGAGACGTGTAGCATAATTGTGCAGTATGTTATATATTAAGCTCACTCCACAAGATCCAAATAATTGATGTCCAATAGAGAGCCTTCCAATTTAAAATGAATGCATACCCTGTTGAAAATTCCTATGTGAGAACACATATGGGATCCCATCCAGAATCTCTTGTGAGTTCTTATGTGGGTTCCCATACAGGTTCACACATAAGATCCTGTATGAAAAGGTTCCTGGGATGAACTTGCGTGAGATCAAGCGCACGATCTTATGTCTCTGTAAAAGCAATAACACAGGATCCCATGAGGTTTCCTGTGTAGGTTCCTATATGAACAACACGATAAATAGGAACACACATGGGATCTTATCCGAGATCTTGTATGAGTTCTTACATAGGTTCTCACATATAAGAAGATTAATAGCAGCTTAATAAGATTTTATATAAAATCTTATTAACATCTTATTAAGCTGCTCTTAATCTTCTTATATGTGAGAACCTATGTAAGAACTCATACAAGATCTCGGATAAGATCCCATGTGTGTTCCTATTTATCGTGTATGATCTTGTATGAGTTCTTACACAGGTTCTCACATATAAGAAGATTAATAGCAGCTTAATAAGATTTTATATAAAATCTTATTAAGGAGAACCTTTTCATACAGGATCTTATGTGTGAACCTGTATGGGAACCCACATAAGAACTCACAAGAGATCCTGGATGGGATCCCATATGTGTTCTCACATAGGAATTTTCAACAGGGTAGGTAAGGAGTTATTTAGAGTCTGAAGGAAAGGAAGACAGACTAAAAATTTCATTTATTTTGACTAACAATTAGTTAGTTACACATTTGATAGAGCAAAGCCATAAGCAAAAGCTTAATAAAAAAAACAAAGCCTGAAAAAGATTAACTTTATAACTAAACTTATATTTTAATTCGTTTTTATTTATTTAATTATTATTACTACCATTACCACTATCCCCATTACTATTGTTACTTTTATTTTTATTTATTTTTTTTTCTTTTTCCTTTATTTTATTTTTAGAAATTAGATTAAACAATATTTACAAAAAAGCATAGCCAGCCGTGCGGATGATCAATTAGGCAATCCCGCTTTTTTACCAATTTAATTTTGTCTGTAAGAAAAATTTTTGAACTTCAGTTACTGTACCATTTCTCATAGAGAGGGCGGTCTCTCTTAAATTAAAGACTGGATCATTTGTCGTTGTATTAGTCACCGATAAGAATCTTAGGAAACGATCTCTACCGCGCCTGTAAAGAGGACAATCACATAGAAGGTGTCTTATATCCATATATTCAAATCCGCAAAGGCAATCAAAAGTAACATTCCAATTGAATCTCTGAAAGTATTCTGCCGTGAGAAAATGACCTGACCTAATTCTATTAATTAGACATACCATTCTTCGGCAGATTTTAAGGTTCTTAAACCATGGCCTAGCAGTTTTGACATTGACAAATTCATAATATATATTAGTAGAATCCGCAATAGAACCATATGACCAACAAAGAACACCCCAAAACTCAATATCCTTCTTGATTGATAATTTAAGATCAGCGTAATCTACTTTATTTCTTGCAACTGTTGGAAACTCAGTAGCTGTTCTTGCCAAATAATCCGCTCTGTCATTGCCAGTAATTCCACTATGGCTAGGTATCCATAATATTTTTACCTCACCTAAACCCTGATTGCGATACAATTCAAATGTTAATTTTAGTTCTTGGACGATCCTTGAAACCTCATAATTCCCCAACAAGGGTTTGCCCATTTCAGAAACCGCATTCCTAGAATCTGAAATCAATAGTATGTTTTTTAACTCAAAAGTCCTTGAAAATTGTGCCGCAGCGAACATAGCCAATAATTCCAATGACTTGACCGTATGGAAGGATGATACCCTAACTCCATACTGAATGTTCATTTCGGGAATATAAAATGCGATGGCCGACCTGAGCGTGCTTGGATTTAGTGAAGCATCAGTATATATGAGCAAATTGTTTCCGCATTCTTCGTTAAGATATTCCCGGAAAGGTATTTCTGTATTCTGATCGTCCTTCCACAGAAGACCTGTAATTGAGTCTGCCTGTTCACCAAACTGAATCCTTGACCACTCCAGATCAAAATAAGATGCTCGCTCTGTTGGCCACATCATATCCATAAGCCCTTCAGCCGCCCAATACGAACACAATACTCCCAGACTTTCCCTAGGCAACTTCAATGAAAAACCATCCAAATCTCGACTCAATGACTTTAAGCTCATCAGAGTAGGATGGAGCTGCCACTGTGCATTACGCAAAACCGTCTGCTGGGCTCTTTCTGCCCTAACCAGGCCGGGATGTATGAAACCAAACTCGGACAGCAATATCGCAATTGGAGTAGACATCAGAAGGCCAGTAGCCACCCTAATAGAAGAGAATATAGCCTTATCCAACCCTTTCAAATGAGTCTGTGCCGCCTTCCAAAACAATGAAACTCCCCAATTGCCAATTGCCTCCATTAATCCCTTACAGACAACTCGCAAAACTTCCGGTGATGGACCTGATGAAACCTTTGCCAAAACTTTTATTACGTTGTTTGCCCTAGAAATTCTTGAAATCAGATAATTTATATGATGATTCCACAACAATTTGTGGTCCAATATAATTCCTAAATACTTAACTTTCTTACTAGCCTTTAGACTTTGATGATTTAATATTATGGACTGTTCAGAAGCGGCTACCTTCGTACTCTTTTTAAATATAATGAATTGGGTTTTAGGAATTGATATTTCCAAACCGAATTCCAGTAACCAACCTGACACCGAATTAAATGATTGCACTATCATCGCCTTTGCACTATCAACATTTTCATCAACAACATAAATAAAAATATCATCCGCAAACATAAGAATCTTTGTATCTCGACCCAAACATCTCTCTATTTTTCTTAACGCCAAACTAAACAGAAAAGGTGAAAGAACACCCCCCTGTGGTAACCCCACTCCTGAATACCTAACCTTGCTTCTATCAAGAGAAAAATGAAGATTCTTTTTGGTAATTAAAAAACTTACAAAATTTATCAACCTACCAGGAACATCTAGGTCAATCATTTCTTGGATTATTTTATCTGGATAAATACAGCTAAACGCCCCCTTGATATCCAAGGCAAGAGCAACCATATTCTTTTTTTCTCCAAATGACCGATAAATATCAGAGACTAGACAGGATACCGCATCAACAGCCGATCTTCCCCTCCTGAAACCAAACTGAAAACACGGCAGCCAGTCCCGTGACTCCGACAAATGCTCCAACCTTCTGTTGACTAGACGTTCAAACAATTTAGAAAAGCAAGAAGTGAGCGAAATAGGTCTAAAACCTCCCCCTCCTTTGGGGATAAATCTCACTAAAGTGTCCCTCCAAGACTCCGGAAAATTTCCTAGATAAAACATTTTATTGAATAGCTGTAAATAAAATTTTTTGACATTAGCCGGCAATCGCTTAATAATATCAAATGTAATTGAATCCATACCTGGAGCCGATTTTGAGTTAGAAATTTCTAAAGCTGACTGAAATTCTGTCATGCTAAACTCAACATTCATCGGATGTTCAGGTTCTGTTACAGGAAGTAAGATGTGTGTCCTAAGTGGAATATATTCTTTAACAAGACCATTCTGGAGTTCTAGGAGAGCCGGATTATTTGTATCAGTATATGTACTGTTAGAAGTTGCCTGGTTTTTGGAAATAAGACCCTTGACTGATTTCCAGACATTCTGAATACCTTTGGAAAAATTTAAGTTTTCACAGTAACTTTTAAATGAATCTGTTTTAATTTTCCTCAGTTTTCTTTTTATCCTATTAGTCACTCTCTTGAATTCAACCAAATTTTCCTCGGTCTGATCAGCTAAGTATTGTTTCATTAGGATCGGCTAAACTGCAATACGCCATCTGGTGGGGACCCATTCTCTCCCTCCATTTTCTTTCTTTGTCTCTCTTCAATTAATAGGTTAGAAAGAGTAGAAAAAACAAAATGGAGGGAGAGAATAGGTCAAAGTTACTAGATTGTTACTAGACCAACGTTCCCAATAGCCTCAGATCGTTCGCTTACCAAAGAATAACACTGTTCGTTCCACCACAATGGTTGAAGCTTCCTTTTACCCTTTCTACCCCCTGGACGGATTGCTCCACTATCAATCAAATTTCGATGAATCACCTCTATTGATCGTTCATAAAGTAAATCAGGTTCCGCACAATCCAATTCACTAAACAAAACTCTAAATTCTTCCTCTAGTGTGTTTATGAATTGTGTCCAATCGACTCCCCGAACATTAAACCTAGTGGAACCCGTATCAATCAAGTCTGGTCTAACATAAAAGTCAACAATTATTGGTATATGATCTGAACCGAAAGAATCACTAGCTAATTTAAAGCTGAAATTCCCTATCATATTCATAGGAACGAAAACTAAATCCAGATTGTTACTTATATCCCCTGATCTAGGAATGTAAGTAGGTAGACGATCATTAATCGGTACACTATCAGTTAAATCCATAGCCTGTGCTAACAAATTACCCTTATTATTTGCCTGATTAGCCCCCCAACTAGGAGAGTGCGCATTAAAATCACCACAGACCAATCTGTGATTTTCCGACTTCGATGAAGATAATAATTCTTGCCAGCTGAACAGTTCTGGATTCGAGTTTATTGGAGAATAAACCACTATTAATTCCGTAATACCCAGAGGAGTATGTATTCCCACTCCACAAATTTCCGTTTGATAGAAATCCCTGTTATCAGAAAACTTCAGATCCAGAGAAGAAGTGACAAGATCCCTTTCAGTCATAATCATGACTCAACCTCCCCTACCAACTAATCTATCCTGTCGATATACGTTAAATCCATAAATTGAAAATTTATGTTCTGGTTTGAGCCAGGTTTCCGTGACGCATACTATTTGCGGGCGATTTTGTTGAATCAATTGCTCTAGTTCTGTTTTCTTATTTACCAGACTATGTGCATTCCAGTTAATAATACGCAATTGTGAAATCATTTTAATTTAGAGAAAGTTATTCTATTAAAATATTCATTCCTGCATATCCGTCTAAACAAATAACTATCATCGCAAGGAATTTAGCTGCTTCTCTAGATCGACTTTGTATTCCTGGAAATCAGCCATTTTTTAGACCAGTAAAAAATTGTTTTCTTATTTATAATTATCTTTATTAAATTAACTATTAAATTTGTAGTAAAACTAATAATAACAAAAATAAAATCCGCCTTACACTTTTTTCAACAATAACCATAAATACAAAATCTCTTAACTATAGCATTCGGTTTTTGCTATCAAATCAAACCACTTTTTTTGTACCTTTTCAAGTTAATTTTCTAGTTTTCTAAATTTCTATATTCATTTTTACAGAATTCACTATACACATATATTTAAATTTAATTGACATAGAATTTTGGAATTAATAACTAATTCTACCATTAACTCATGACGTTGAATTAGTGTCTTCCAAACGCTTTCTTTTAGCTTCATTAAGTTCATCAAGCGGGGAGCTAGTAGCTCCTGGCTTGGTCCTTGAATGACTTGGAGAGTTAGACTCAAAACTCATTTGATCATGACCCATAGAGTTCAAAAAGGATCGACCATATCCAGGAGGAACAAATTTTGGTTGTTGCAATAGAATATTGCGAGTTATTTTTTCTTCAGACCTAGAACGCGTAATACTTCTAATATTTTTATTTTCTATTTGCGTATCATCGAATTCTGAAATTTGTGATTGATCTCCTTCCTCTTCGTGATGAGAATCATGCGAGCTAACAGAATTTAATGATAAATCCATAGGATGTGATGTATCAATGTTGTTTCTATCTCTAATTGTACTTTCTTGCGCGTCCGATTCAGCTTCAGATAAATTTTCGTTAAATTTAGCTTCAGCCTCCTGGTACCCTATACCATGATCTAGGCGTATTTGCATTATTACCTTTTCTTTGATATACCTCGGACACTCAACCGAGGCAGTAGAATGAGGGCCGTTACAATTACAACATATGACTGATCTAAGTCTATTATGACGATCCTTGGATTCATGAGATTCAAGGCAGAATTCGCATCGGAAATATCTCGATCTACATTGTGTTTCCACATGCCTGTATCTCTGACATTTATAACAACGTAATGGGCGAGGATCAATCGGGACAACAGGGAATTCAAAATACGAAAGTTGAACTGTCGACGGCAATTTTGAACCTAAATAAGTTAATTCAATAATATCAAGCATATGATTATCATAAGTAATGCGACGCTTAATTGATACCAGATCTTTAAGACTTTCCTGGTTCATCCTGTCAGCAATATTGTTTGCTGATAAGGAACAGTCCACTTCCCTAACCATACCCTTAACGAACTTCAAAGATTTAGGAATATAAACCCTATATTTATTCTCAATAAGTTCAGATGAACCAAGCAACACATTAGCATCATCCAAACTCTCACAGGTAATCTTGACTCTGTTGATGCCACTTCTTTGAATCAATCTATTGCCTTTAATGACACTATGTATCAGATCGGCAACAGCTATAGGATTCAATTTACCTATATTAAGAGATTGATTCAGACTTTCCATCAATACAATATATGGAGGCAATGAATTTGGTGGAAAAAGTGGAGATGGTAGGTTTTCCGGATTGTTCCATATAAGGAACTCATCTGCTGAAACAATCTGATCCCCTTCATTTTGTCTGGAATTTCGCAATTGTTCATCTAAATTATTCTGTAAATGAGTCATAGTGAGCAATCTTATATCCGATGAAATCAATGATAAGGAATCAGTAGACACTGATGTAAAACTATTCAGATCAGAATCTCGAGAAATAGAACCTGCCGAGGATTTAATAGCCTTTTTCATAACCCTCTCAGGAAGAGAGAAAAAAAAATTCAATAAATAAAATAATGTTTGAAATTAGGTTTAATTTATTTATTATTATTATTAACCAATCAAATTCTTTCCTTCTTCCTCTTACATTCCCTCTTTTATCTTTAATTTTAAGAATCAGAATTTTAATATAACATACTCAAATCAAACACATACTTAGATCAAAGTCAAAATCAATTTTCCCAAGGCAAAACCTTCAAATATATTTCTTATTATTATTATTTATTCAATAAAGAGAAATATCGATTTAAAACTCAAATAATTGTATTAATTATCTATTCTAAAAACCTTCGTGTGATTGCCTTCCCATTATTTGTTTATTTTCATCACAATAATAGGCCTAGCATCGAACAATCAAAACCATTTGTTTACTTTATTCTAAACCTAATCCAATCATCCCACGTGCATGTTCAAACATTTAATATTCAATATCAAATAAAATTAACTTAAAACAAAAACTGATTAATTATTGCAATAGAAAATACAGGAATGAATAAAATTAATTCTTTAGCAAAAATTTATATTGTATAAATATTTTAGCTAAATCCACAATAAGTAATCCTTATTAATACAAACAATTAAATTTAAGATTATTAATTTTTATTTTATGCAAGAAACTGTAAAGTTACTATTTAAATATAAAGCTGTCTGTTTTAACCATGAAAGCAATTAAAGGAAAAGGAAGAATAGGAAGCATTTAATTGCGAAGCACGTGCTCTAAAGTGATTTCAGCTCAACTAATCCTTATGTGATTTTTATTGAATATATTGACAAAAATCTCTTACTTTGATTAATCCTTTTTTTTATTATGAACCCTCGGGGATTATTTAGAGCATTCGACAACCATATTATAACCATATTATAAGCACTATGTCCTTCGAACTGACTATTTATTACACTGTAAATGACGTGTTTACAAACACGTCTGAACACTTAGAAGGCCTTTCTCCAATAGGAACCTAAACTTTTGCGTTGCGTGACTGACGCGTTGATTTTAGCATTGGTTGCCAATAGCAACCGACGCAATGCATACGCAACGCAAGAGTTTAGGATCCCATTGGAGAAAGGCCTTGACAGATTGGAACGGAGTCCGCCTCTCCATTTATTTTCTCACGTACGTGAGTCCAGTAGTGTTTGTAAGGTTAGGTAGGTATTTACGATTATATGGGAAAGGTAGGGGAAAACGTTGCGCGGGAAATTTAAATCCACGTATTCCTCTCAAGCCGAATAAATTTATTACTTACAATAGTTTTGTTTCTATCTTATTAATTGCAGTGGAAATTTAATCCCGGCAACCATCTGTCCCCCTCATTTATAATTACTATGATATCCCAGTAAAAAAGGATTTTTTGAGATAGCAGTTCGGACAATTGAGCAAGCCGTTTGCTCAATTGTCTAAAATGCATTCGGACAATTGGAGTGTTTGTTCAATTGTCCAATGCATTATGCCCAATCATCCGCAATATTTCTCGTGTCTAAAAAGCTGCTAAAATAATATGAAAAACTATTGAAACATTGAAAAAAACGGTAGAAAATGCATACTTCTTGATATATACAGAAAAAGAAAGTATAAAAATACCTCGATCGAGGAAAAGGAAAGAGTTTTCCGAAAAATCACTTTTTAACTGACAGTATAAACTTGACATTTTATGGGTAAAGAAGAGAAGATTATGATAATGAGTGACACTTCATTATCGACTCTCAATATTTGTCGAATGGTAAAATATAATAGTAGATTTCTTTCTGATTTTTTAAAAAAGGAATAATTATTGAATTAAAAATTTTCTTACTTTTATATTTCATTTATTGTTATGTTTTTATTATATGTTTATATTTTTTTAGTACTAATTTAAATATTTTTATTTAAATTTTAATTAAATTAATTAAATTAAAAATTAGTTTAATTATTTAAAATTAATTTAATTATTTGAAATTATTTAGTACATAAGTATAATTGAGGGTGTGGATGCTATAAGGGGATATAAGTGAAAGTAAAAGTCCCCGCGTGTAGCGAGTCAGCAGCTGCGCAAGGGGACAACGTAAACCATGCGCGTCCCCTTATAGCATCCATACCCTCAATTATAATTATATATTATTATTAATTAATAATATTATATTAATATAATTTATATTATGTATTTTATATATATTATAATTATACATTATACATACGTATACATTATAGGTCAAACCTGCAAAAATTTTGTTATTTTGTAAATTTTTCTTTTATAAATTTTAAATTAAATTAGTACAAAAAATGCAATCAAGGAATAACAGGTAATTTCAACGAGTATTTTTGTTATTATAATAAGCCTGCATTATTATTTTGTTGATATGCAATAAAATAAAATCTTTCTGACGTACTTAGGAGTTTAAAAAAATTAGAATAAATATAAGAATTGTTTGTTAATTGTTTTTATTCAATAAATTCAATTGAAAAAGTTATAAATATAGTTTGTTTATTTAATATATATGTTTTTTATTATAATTATTTCAATTAAAATTACTGTACATTACTATATTAATTATATTATATTAATATATTTTCCAACTAATTTATAAAATAAATAAAGTCTATTATTTTTTATACTTACCAATTTTCAAATTTCCTTATTACACTACATTATATATACACATTTTTTCACTGTAATATAATTAAATAACAATCATAAATAATTAAAAGTAATTATTAATAAATAGATAATAATACTAAAAAGTAATTTTTACAAATTTTATTACACCGATTTAAAACTTATAGGACTATTCACGTTTTTTTAAAATTTTTTAATTTCACAGCACTGACAATAACTTTTAATTTGCTTAATTATTCCTTTTTTAAAAAATCAAAAAAGAAATCTACTATTATATTTTACCATTCGACAAATATTGAGAGTCGATAATGAAGTGTCACTCATTATCATAATCTTCTCTTCTTTACCCATAAAATGTCAAGTACAGCAGTATACTGTCAGTTAAAAAGTGATTTTTCGGAAAACTCTTTCCTTTTCCTCGATCGAGGTATTTTTATACTTTCTTTTTCTGTATATATCGAGAATTATGCATTTTCTACCGTTTTTTTTCAATGTTTCAATAGTTTTTCATATTATTTTAGCAGCTTTTTAGACACGAGAAATATTGTGGATGATTGGGCATAATGCATTGGACAATCCCGTGTAGAAATTGCCCTCAATAGCCGTATTATTATCACGGCTTCTGTAAGGTCCCTATAAGGTTGCCTTATTAATATATTTTTCCATTTTGCCTTAAAAGGGCCCTATAATTTCCTTATCAGGTTGCCTTAATTGTTAGTCAGGCAAGAAAATGAGGTCCCTTTTTACGTTACTGATCGGGTCCTAGAATGTGCCCTAAAATCTATAAATTTGGAAAAAATCACTGATTCAACCAGTGAATTGAAAATTACCGATTCAAATTTAGAGATAAGAGGGTTTATATTATCGTGTAATTCACGCTGTCCCCAGAAGATGGCGTTGAATCAACTGCCAACAGTTTCAAAGATTTTCTTGTTTTTACCGTCAGTAAAATTTTAATTGGTTTTTAAAATTTTAAATATGAATAACAAAAGAAAACGTGATATTGAACGAATTCGAAAAAGAAAACAAAGAGCGATTGCACAGTCTTTAAAAGAATTAAAATCATCGAGCAGTGATTGTGAGGAAGACGAAAATTATTCAACTGACGATTCTCTAAGTGAGTGTATTTATATTATTTGAATTAAATTATTTAAATTTAAGTATTTGATTATTTATAATATTTAACTATTGTATTGTTAAATTACTTCGTAATCTATATGGTCTTTTTAAAACCTTTGTATCAAGGACCAAATTTTGAAATTTTATTTTTAATTATTTGAGGTTATGTATTAGTAGAAAATATTTTGACGGGCAATATTTTGCTAAATTAAATGTAATTTGTAAATACCGTGGGCTTTTTTTCCAAACAGTAATGTATTTGTTTGAACATTTATTTAAAGTAGAATTTTTTTGTTTTCAGAAAGTGTTGAAGATTTTGCAAATAAACAATTTGACGATGAAACTTTGGTTTTAGAAAATAAAAAAGAAATTGACGAAAAAAATGAAAATGAAAGTCTAAATGGAATTTGTTATCCGGAAGATGATTCTGATGAAAATACGAATGATTATGATAATAATGAAAGAGGTTATTTTTTTATTACTATATGAGTCATTCTTCCATTTGTGTTGTAATAAATCTTTTTTAGATTTTACTTTGTTTTTCCTCAAAATTTAGAATGCACATTTCAAAAAAAATTTTTAAATTAATTAAAATTCATAGACACTTTGGAGGTTGAAATAGATGTAATTTTATTTTATTAATTCTGAATATATTTCAAATACGCATTTTACAAAAAATAACAATTTTAATTGAATTAATATTGAAAATTTAATTTTTCTTAAAGAACATCCCAATTGATAGGTCGTATCGACAATTAGTGATGATTTGATTAAAATCAAAGATAACATGTATTGACATATTTAGAAGTTTATTTTTCTAATTAAATTTTTAGGCCAATTAAATCATTTTTTAAAAATTGTATTTTACTACCCTGGCGGATTCGATTTACCTAAAATCGACCCAGCTGGGTCGAATCTAAGTCGAATCTAAGTCGAATTTAGGTAATTATCAAAAAAAAGCTTTAAATTGATGAAAATTTATAAAAATTAGTATTGTGAGGTTAAATGAACATTCATAGAGTTAATTTTTGTAAGAATTTTAATTATTAACGTGATAAATAATAAATAATTACTTGATATGTGCAAGTGGTAACTGTAGATTTTAACTCGTTGTCAGTTTTCATAATATTTTCAGAAATTAGTGTAAAATGTGTGAAAAAATAATTTATATTTAATAGAAATTGCAAATTTTATTAAATTATTTTATTATTTAACAATCACATTTCATAATAATTGCAATTTAATTAAAAAATAACAGTTTTC